CACCACGGTAAGGTTCAGTCTCTTCGTACAGTCCAGTATCTTCTTACCATCAGATAATAAGGGTTGATGGTAAGAAAACTTAGTGCTCGCTTACTACAATCATTCCGAGCACTCATTCAGGCAGTCTGGATAGAAACTAACAACAAGAACGCCAATGAAATCGGTTGGAAGCCATATCTTGTAGCACCTCCAACCAGGCGCAGTGGGGACAACGCTGCCTTTATCCTGGTAGGCAGGTAGCACCGACAGCATCCAAACGCTTCATAATTTAATTCATACCCCTCTGCCAGGTCAAGGGTTGGCCACCTCACTGCTTCCACCACTCTGAATTGGGCATAGAAAACAGCACCCTCTTCGGCAAACGACGCGTAGGCATGCGCAACATGTGTCCCAACCAACGCAGCTTCTTGTGCTGGACACACTATTTAATGGAACTTCCCGTTGCACAACCGGAAACTCGCTTTCGCATTGCCTAGTAACGGATTCGCCGACACCAACCCACACGAGCTACGGTTCTGAGGCAATGATTGTCGAACAACCGTCGAACTCGACTGTCTCCGTTCCGCTAATTAAACAAACCAAGTCTCATGGCTAAACTGGTCCATCAGACAGACTAGCTAAACGATCGTGCAAATGGCATAATGCGCTTTCAAAGCCCGCGAAGTTGCTTTCATTTTGGCCCATCATTTCGATGATAGTACCGCTTAGTTTTGCTGTAGATATCCCCGGCGCAGCCGTCTGAGCTGCCTCCAAGCAAGCGTTTAAAAAATTCTTTCTTTTCCAGGCGATTCATCCCTACGAAGTCGCTTTATAGCTCACCCGAAATTGGACCGTTGACCATCCAGTATTTTATATATGTGCTGGAGGGTCACCCATTTATAGTATTTACCGACCAAAATCCCATGTCTCGAAACCCACTGAAATCATACTCTCCTCGAGGACCTCGCGACTTTGACAATGTGCCTTGAAGCCAAATACATTGCCGGTACACCCTCCCAAGAGTGTTGCTCATGATTTCGACCACAATAAACTTCAACCCCATGGCGAGACTGAGCTAGATAGGTAAGAGTTTCTCACTGCCTCTCGGAACCGCTCCTTTCGTGTGGTGGATAAGTGACTGTCTAATTCTACAGACGTCATTGACTGCAGCTTTTCCGCCAGACGCCCTATGGTACCCAACGACTTCAGGCAGTATGTTTTCGGTGTTCGCCACGGCACTGTGCACCCCTGCATCTGCACGACAACAAAAATTTGTGTCTGGCCTGCCGTGTGGAATATACGGGAGTGGAACACCTGAAGTGTGTCGCATAAGTTAAAAATGATGTTTCAGTGTTCGCATCAAACGGTGCATCCAAGGCGTTGGTTTGGCCTTGCGTATGCCTCACGTG